AGCAAATGCATAAGGAAATAATATTCAGTCGTCTTTATCCCCACCACATATCAGTGTTGCGATATGGGACCGGTTGTATGCGCATGTGCGGCAATACGGCGTCAGTACAGTGTCTCATACAAATTAAACAAGGCACCGTTACCCGCGTACATTAAAAATATTTCTAAATTTTTTGAAATTGATTGAAATTTTTTACTTCTTGGTTTTTTAGCTGCTGGCTCCGTAGATTCCATGCTTGTAAATAAATAAATCTTACCTTATTTGTAAATCACCAGACCTTCTCATGTCAAAAACGTCCCGCCATACAGTCAACACATAACATATAACGGCACTGGATCTCTATCACCGCACATGCGCAGAGCCGCACATGCGCATACAACCGGTCTCATATCGCAACACTGGTCTCTAATCGGAACACTGCGTGGCTCTCAGTATCCTCTCAAGCCTCTCTGCGACCACACAATCATTAGAACGACCACTAAAGCGATCACTAGAACGCGCACACTTAGCCTGATATTTATTAGTAAGTTCACAAAGTTAATTTTTTTTTGCCAAGGTATGTAATTAATGTCTTTCAGACTGCATAAGTCTTATGTCATTTTGTCTTTTTGTATTATTTGTACTCTTCTTTTACGCTTATCGAATTGAGCTCTTAGTTTCTATTATACTGCCGATATGACCATAGCAATCGAGAGTATACGGACATGATTCATGCGTTAAGTGCATGTAACGGCAATGCTTCGGCCACAGTTAATTATTATAAAGACCGATATATGTATATTGATATGTATTTATGTATTTGTAGTCGACTTGGTCGTCTACGGCTCTCAATAACGATCTGTCGCACATGATCGAAGACTCTTCTGATTATCGGAACTCTAACTGATTATCGGAAAGTCGTTGCGGTCGAGCTATTCAGATGTTTTTATTATTTACCTCGACAGGCTTCATATGGGTTACCTCATGCTAGTATACGAAAAACTGGAAATATAGCCGTTACTTTGAAGACGAACTGTAATTTTTCAATCAATTCGTTCTTATTTTGCTACATATTTTTTTTCTTTTTTTCATACCGATATACTTGTCATATTCTGTGCCCTCGTCATTCGATCCATTTGTGTTACGAACATGAATAGAGATAATCTGAGTCCTTGATCAAATCTTAAGATTTGATCAAGCGTACTCGATAAACTTTGAAAAACTGAATCGAAAATATAAAATAAAATTTTTTATACGGTTTTGTTTCCGAGAAAAATGACTTTAATATGTAACATTTTTATTTTTAATAAACATATTTTTAAGAAACTTATCTCTTGACATTGAAATAAAATGATTTTTTGTCATTTTATCAGAATGCAAAGCTTCGAGATTCAACGCCGGAGAGTCTTTTAGCCAGCATAAGTGCCCCTTCTGGGTTAATGGTCGTTATCTTTATCGCGTAATAACTTTTCACTCTTCCGCTAAATCCACTTTATATTTTATGAATTTGTGTGTTTATGTTTTTAATTTTTATTTCAGATATTTTATATAACAAAGGACTAATACACGCATTAATAATAATATTTAATGTACAATATAATACCTATAAAATAATATTATTTTAACTTTTCTTGTGAATTTTTAATTAATTTCTAATTAATAGTTATAAATTTACATAAATCTTTACTAATTTAATTAATACTCACCTATAAATGTGCCTAAAATAAAAATTAAGTCTAAGAGCCATTTCAATTGAAAAATAGGCGACAATGTGAAAGCGTCGTTGGCTTTAATTGAGTTACAAAGCCATACCAACCCAATTGAATCGACTAAAATTATTTGTTCGAGCAATAAAGTGATAAATATCGAAGATATAAATAATGTGAATATTGATACACAAAATCCTGGCTTTCAGCCAATTAATGTATCATTAAGTAAAGAGATTCGCGAAAATGTTACTGAATTAAATTGTCATGTTAACAATATCGAAGAAAGTTTTTCGAATGATATATTAAATAATTCTATGGCATCTTCAAATAGCGTTGATAATAATAGGGACATAATGAATAGTAATAATGATTTAATATCCACTTGCACCAAAAATAAAGATACATTATTGCGAAAAAAATTAGCATCGTGGGCCATAGAGGAAAATATTACTCAAAATAGTTTTAGAAAGCTTTTAAAAATTCTCCGAAATGAAAATGATTTGACTGCGTTTCATAATTCACTAAAAGATCCGAGAACAGTGTTATTTACTCCAAGCGATTTTGCTTCTGTAAAAATGGGTACCAGTTCTTTTTATTACTTTGGGATTGCACAGTCAATTAATATATTAATTAATCAATGTGATCTATTCCTTCCTAATTGTATATCTTTTGAATTATCCATAAATATAGATGGTTTGCCTATTAGTAAAAGCAGTTCAAATTGTTTGTGGCCAATATTAGTTCAAATAAAGTCTATTAAAGTTTTGAAAAAATATGTTTTAATGGTAACCCTGTATCATGGTTATGGTAAACCGAAAAACTCAAATAAATATTTAAAAGAATTTGTAAATGAAGCAATTTATTTGATTACTAATGGAATTTTTATCAACAATCAAAAATATGATTTTAAAATAAAAGTTATAATATGTGATGTGCCCGCTAAATCTTATATTTTAAATATAAAAAATCATACCTGTTATTATAGCTGCACTAAATGCAAGGCAGAAGGTTGTTGGATTAATAATATATTGTGCTTTCCACAAACAAATATTATAAAGAGAACAGATGTTGAATTTAGACAACAACATGATGAAGATTATCACAAAGGGATAACTATTTTGACGAATTTGCCTCATTTTCATATGATTAAAGATATTATATTAGATTACATGCATCTTATTTGTTTAGAAGTGATGAAAAGATTGATTACACATAAAAAATATGATTGGGTTTTAGATAAACAATCGTATAAGCTTTCATATGGGCAAGTAGAATTGATTTCAAATAAAATCAAAAACTTAAATGAATATATTCCTGTTGAATTTCCACGTAAAGGTAAATCGCTTGAAAAATGTTCTCGTTTCAAAGCAACGGAATTTAAACTCATATTATATACAGGACCTGTAATTTTCAAACAAATTTTTTCAAAAAATAATTATTATTATTTCTTAACATTACACGTTGCTACTCTAATAATGTGCAGTAATAAATTCTACAAAAGAATAGACATGGTGAATTATACAAAAAATCTAATGAAATGCTTTGTTGAAACAAGTATCGATATTTATGGCCAAGATGTTGTTTCTTATAATGTACATAATTTGTTACATATACATGAGGATGTCATACGATTTGGCAATTTAAATGAATTTTCAGCTTTTCCGTTCGAAAATTATATGATACAATTAAAAAAAAATAATACAATTAGAAAAAAAGAAAATCCACTTGAACAAATAATACGGCGTGTTTCTGAATATAATAATATTTCAAGATTAAAAAATCATTCTGAAAATAATATTGTTGCCAAAGAACATTATAACGGACCCTTATTACCAAATTGTTTAGGTCAATATAAAGAATTTAAATTAAATTCTTGTACTTTCAAATTAAATACTGCTGATTGTTATGCACAAATGATAACGACATTGTTAAAATATGCAACATAACATACTGTAATAATATTATTTGTATTATTGGACAAACGTTTCTCGACAAAAAATCATTTTTTATGAAACCTTGTGATTCTGCAATTCTAGGTATTTATACTGTAAGCCTTGACAAACTTAGTCGTTTAAAAATATATTTATTATTAGAAATTAAATGCAAATCAATGTTGTTGCCATATAAAGATAATAATGCAGTAATTTTTCCTTTGTTGCACGTGTAAATAATTTTAATATTTTTATACTTTTTTGTAATAAGTTCCCTCAAAGTGCAAAAGCAATAAGTTTCAACTAATTAATTAATTATTAAAATTATTAAAATTTATCAGTTATTTGTATCTCATTAAGTTCTATCCATTTCTGATAAGCGCTACGTAACGGCGACGATAATGGTTTACTGGTTGCATTGGCTGTTACCATTTCATAGCGTTTACCAGAAATGTTGCTAGGGTATTAACACTTTGAAGTGTTAAATAACGTTGTATTATTAACTTGATTGTAAATCTAAGACGAGATTTTAATTTATTATCTATTCCTAAATATTTAATTTTATTGGCTAATGTTGCAGTCATAATATTAGTATAATTTTTACTTATATTATACTCTAAAATATTTATGTCAATAGTAATGTCACATATATTATAGAGGGCACCTTATTGAGTAATCCCTAACAGGTTTTAGCCATCGATCAAGTCTGACAAGTCATACTGTTTAATGTTTGTCCATATTGTAAGCAGTTTGTTCATCTATTCGTGTATAAATCTTCGTACACTTTGCATTCTTTTCGTTCAATATTAAAGAATTTTATGGAATAAAATACGTCATTTCAATAAAAATAGTCTTTGTTTTTGAGTATCTCGATTCCATTATATTATTGCACTTTGAATTTGTCTTTATCAGTCACAAATTGATTTTAAAGTTTTAGATCATTTCCTACTTCCTTTCAAAGATCTTTAATGCCAACTATTTTTATACATGGATTTTTAAGTTTTATTTTATAAACGCCGATTGATGCAATCATATATATCTTGTAAGCATTCTTTTAGTTTCATATTATCAATTTTATTATTTATTTTTATTACTATTTTATTTTCTCAAATACTTGTTACATTTTTAATATCAATTTTTAGTTCTGCTAGTTTAACTTTTGATTGTACTTTTTGTTTTGTTGCATCATTATTTTATTTTTTATTATTTAGTTTAATATTATTAACAGAATATTTAAATATTTTTCTTTTATGTATGTTATTTATGTTTTCCATGTTGCTTACTGCATTGTCATAAAAATTTTATTGCTTGACAGATTGCTTTGAATATTTATGAAAGTAATAATTTCTTCTATTTGGGTTTTAAGCGTGCAACTCTTAAATCGCATATGGACTTTTTACGTAAATATTATCTTTGTATCGTATTATGATATGTGTAGATATGTGTAGATATGTTTCCAATTTGATACAGAATGAAAAGGTGACAGGCTCGTGCAACTTGTCTATGTTGCCATATCATCTCTTTAAGCAAAATACCGACATTGAGCTGATCAAGCTCATTGTGTATCATTGTGTCCAGCTTTTGACACGCAATATTGCAATCACTCTCATTTTAACTGTGATGATATGATATGCATGATGATGAATAACAAATCCGTACGTAGCTGAACTTTATTCTGCCTGAACATGCTATTTGCACTTTCAGAAATATGGCATGGTGCATTTGCCATTTTCAAATAAATGACTTTATACAAGTTATTCCAAATAATTGGATAATTAGTAAACGGAAATGTGCGTGGCCATCATTGACGACAAAATTATCTGAGCTTATTAAAAAAAGAGAAATTCCAACAGATGATTGGGAAACAATGAGGATCAAAGTTTTAGCACAATATGGTAAATATTACATCAAAATACTTTAATATATTTAAATTGCAGTTTTTTGTGCTTATATATTGTTAAAAATTTGTATATATTTTTTATAACTTAAATAGTAAAACAGAATAAATATAACAATAAGGTTGAAACAATTGTAACAGTTTAGATCTTGTACAATTAGTTATGGAAAAATATATTTTGAAATATATAATAAGTTTAAAATTCTATTATATAGTTACCAATAATAGAAAATGTAGTTTAATTTTATGCATTTTTTTCTACGTAATTATAAATATGCATTAACACTTTATAAAGTTTGATATATTTAATTAATAGATAAATGTTCATATTTTGTCTATATTCGTACGATTTTGACTTTTAATTTATTTATTAAAAATTGTTCAATTAATTGAATAGTAAATATAACTTTACTATATGAATAAGATTTTTAAAGAAAAAATTTTTATCAGGAACTATAACTTAACTATATATTATATTTTTTCTAGACAACTATGAAATAGCTCAAACAATATACAAAACAACATTCCATAGAGATAATCTCTCATCACTATCTGAGTCTGTTGAATATGGAAAAGGACTTCGTGTACCGAAATCTGAAAAAAAATACAGTGATAGAGACACTGATACGGAAAACAAGTGTAGCGAAGAGGAATTGTCCATTAATTTTCCGATATATAAAGCAGATAAAACTATATTTTCACCAAATTCGGCACATAAAAGTACGGTTAATTAAGTGAAAAAATTATGAAGAATTTTGACGTTAGTTTTCTAAGAAGTTTTCTTTTTAGATTCAGCTAATAAAGCACATAGCAATAAATCGAATAATAATGTTTACCAAGTCGGCGAAAGCAAAAAGCAACATTCTGATAATATTTTAGCTGAGATCCATACTAATTTTCAAAAACACGCAGATGAAACAAAAGGTAATACGTATGGAGAAAATATGTTCTATATATGGAGAAAATATGTTTGAGTGCATATTACAATGCATATTGCTATGCATACTTTTTAATTTATTTGCAACAGCAATTCGTAAAATGTGCTAAGATTCTGTTTAGTATTTATTTATATGTTTTAAATTCTTTAGATTTTCAACGCCAAGTTCTACAATACCTACATAGCATTGATGGCCGAATGGAAAAATTAAATGAGTACGTAGAATCATTAAAGCAGCCTAATTTTCCCGTTGATCAAGAAAATGCTAATCAAAATATGACAAGTGAACAATTATTACAATTTACAACATGCATTGAAAGATTGCCAGTGAAATCAGACAACGAGCTTCAAGAAATTGAGAAAATTTTAGAAAATAAACCAATATTCTATAACGTGGTAAAATGATTGTTATAATACTAAAATTATACTATAATTATATAAATAAATATACATATATTTTATATGCTAATCTTTTAGGCTACAGAATTGTCAAAAATAGGCGGTAATAATCTACAAATCATTGTCAAGCAAGTGATGTATCGAATTTTAACACCCAAAGTTGGAAGAAAATATAACTGGGGTAAACGTAAGCAAAAACTTGCTTTTAGGGATTTATTTTTGGCGAAATTAGTCCTTAGTAAGTATTGCAAATTTTATCTTAATTTCTATATTATGTTTAGAAAAGTTATGTTTCAAAAGATTATATCTTACTTTATGTGTTAAACTAATTAATATATTTATAAATTAATTAAAAATATTTAAATCACCCTGTGTGGTGCAATGTTTTAGTGAAATTTATTTGTTTAGAAATCTTTTAATTACAATGGAAAATAAGAGAAATTTCAAAGAAATTTGCTAGGATACTTATTTGAAAAAAAAACAATCAAAATAATGTTTCTTATCATTTCAGTATCCGTCAGATTCACCATGATGAAACGTTATGTAAATATAATAGATGATGAAATTATCATATGCATTAGAGATTGGTTGTCAGAAGCCAAATAAAAAACAAAACAATCAGTGCAGCCAAATGAAGCTAATCGTTCAACTAAATTAGTTATTACTTTTACTTAATTATTTTACTTTTTTATTTTCAATATCTGCGTACTGTCTCTTCTCTTTTACATATATAAAAATTACATCAATTCTATAGAAAATACGATAAAAATGCTGTAGAAAAGGAAAATATATTAATAGATAATATAAAATAAATATTTAACATTTGAAAAATAAAACTGAGAAATGATATTGCAATAGTCCTCAACTTTTTAAATGCCATCTGTCATTCATATCGCTACCTCTTTCCATGTTTTTCAATTTCGTGCAAAAAAATATATAGTTTTTTGAGATTTCATAACAGGAGAACATCACGAAGTGGCGCTAAAATACGAACCAGTGAGACGAAGTGGAACGCGAGCCGAAATGGACGCAGTCAGGATCGACGTCGAGCGTCGGTGGTGTCGGTGGTGCGACGGCAAATATACGAACGTAGGTAGATCTTTGACTATAGAAACATGGACTACTACATGGGGCGGTATTCATAGTCCGTTCTTATATTCAAAATCGTCTTAAGCACGGACTTATATTCGCTCTCTTCGTCACACATAGATTGTGTCTGACGAAGAGAGCGAATATAAGTTTATACTTAAGACGATCTTGAATATAAGAACGGACTATGAATACCGGCCATGGTGTAAAGAATATAAGGTGAAGTATTGCGCATATGGCGGCGACTTAAAATTTCAACCAATCAAATTTGCCCGATGAGGAAACGCGCCAATTATAAATGTAGTAAGTTATTTGAAAATAAAAACAGTATTTATATTTATATTAAAATTTATTATATTAATTTTATTGCATTCAAAAATTAAATAAAATACATTAAAATTCAATACAATAAAATACATAAAATAAAACAAATTTCAAAATAATAAATAAAAAATAACAAGGTATAAAATAAATAGCCTAAGACTAAGAAATCACAAAATAATATTACACATATGTTTTAACTTTTTTTTCTTATTTTTTTCAATACTTGTCATAACAATTTTTTTATTTTTTTCTCTTAATCTAATATACGTTCTCGTTCGTACCAAACATGCGACAACCTCTCTTGGAAATTCATGGTGTAATTTATTGTATACTAGCTCGGTCAGTTTATCAAAAATTTTATTTCCGACATTAAAGTCATTCCCATGAAATGCGATAAATTCAGTATTCATTATTTTTGCGGCTTTAAAAAAATTCACAGAAGGACGAATGCAGTTCCCTCGAGAGTGTTCCTCGATACAGTCCGACGTGAAATGTACCTCACATACTGCTTCTAATATGGAAGTAATATTCATATAAATTATTGCAATATATATTTTATGCAAAACAATATACATATTGTTAATTCTGGCATAATATTGCTGCATAGACTATGACTATGCAAGCTGAATTAAGTATGTCATATACTATTTAGGCGAGCTATAAGCTTTTGTTGCCTATTTATAAATTTTACAATTAAATAATTAATATATTTGAACAATACAATTATTATATATTTATTAATATGAAAAAAAATGTAAACGCAATGTAATATTTACTAACCACGTGTAATCTTTGAATTTTCATCCCTCTGGCAAGCCTGTAACCATTTTCTTCGCAGCTCAGGATCTTGAGGGAACGAGTAATATTTCATTTTTTTGTTAAATATATAATTCGTCCGGTTTTTACAGTTTCTCACAAAGCAACTTGGCATGGTTGAAAATTTATCGTCGACTTGTCAAAGTGCGCCGGCCATATTGAATTTTGCATCACCGGGCATATTTGATTGGTTCGCTGTTCCCCACTACTTTTGAACCACTGCGCAACCATCGGAATGCTTCACCTTATATTCTTTACACCATGGACTACTAGTGTTCCCCCCCTTTTCCCATTGAAGCAATGGCCGCATTCAGCAGAACAAACCGCTTAGTAGCAATCGAACGTGATTGGTTCTTACTTTCAGAACCAACAAATTAACAGTCGAGATTCAGCGGAAAATCTACAACTGTTGAGTCTGCTGAACGCGGCCAATGTTTGACTGCGTTCGGAAACACACACTGTGTGCACACCAACACACAATAACCGTTCGGAAACACGTTAGTGGTACTTAATGTGCATTCGGGTGAATCGTTCGAAAACGTTGAACGAGTACCACCAGTGTGCCACGAAACCACTCGCCGAAAAAGCAAGGGGAGTCAGTGTGATTCAAGAGTAACGTTTTCGAAAGTAACCTTAGAATGGCAAAGATATTCACTAGGAAAAATAAAACTGCTTAGCTTTGAAAATTATATACAAATCGCGATATATGAACCTACATACATTTATAAATTTGCATTTGTCGTATAATGTAGCGACTGATATGAGTACATATTTTGTAATTATATAATACTTAGAAGTGCGTGCGCCAAAAAATTCCTAAGATTCCTAGATTGAAATTAAAAAGATTGATCGTGGGACAAGGAGATCGAAACGCGAAGACAATTAGATTTTAGTGTCACTATAGATTGTCCGGATGACACGATCGAAATCAAAATATCCATCAACGCACAACCAACTGTTCGGAAACACTCTACACCCGAAGGCACACGATATCCCCACTACTTCTCCACTGAAAATCACCACACTACACAGAGTGTGAGGTTTCCGAACGTAGCCTTAAACAGATGTAAGGGACAATCTCTAACGATATTAGCTCCGCCTTTTTGGCCCAAAAAAGCGGGGAAAATTCAAATGTAAAAATATCTGAGAATAAAGTAAAGGGTTTAAAATATAAAAAACAAATATCATTATTATTACAGACTTAATAATTTTATTATAAAGAAAGAAATAATGTTATAACGTTATTATAAAAATAAAATAAACGTAAATGCATCGTAACGTTATAATATAAAATAATAAAATAATAAAAATAATAAAGATGTGTTTACCTTGTTGGTGTTAAGTATTTTTTAGATTTGTTCATTCTTTTTTGGATCAAGATCTTGATTACTTGGAGACATTTCTGTCGTTATTTTTCTAGCTTCGATATATTCCGATTCAATTAGGCATTGATCATCATTGATCACATCTGTACTTAGCAATGGAATTTCTGGCGTTGCTGGTAATATTTCTATTCTGTAATTTACAATAATTATACTAATAGATTTACTAAATAATAGATGTTACAAATGTTCACTGTAATTGTAATTATATTAATTGTATTACGTTTGTTCTTGGGCACGTGGAAAAATAGATGGAATAGAATTTGATTTTAATCAAAATTGTTCATAACCGAAACGTTCTATACACTCTGATGTAAAGTGTAAAATGTAGATGCGACTACTTTTCGGTACATTTCGTGCACTTTCTTGTTTATTTAAAGTTACTAATGCTTCGATCCACTTCTCTTTAAGACTTGG